TCGTCACCGAAAGGTTGCCAGTCCGATTCCCTGCAGGGGCACTGTTGTTGTACCCTTAGGCAAGCTATTTAAGCCAGAATTGCCACAGTAAATATCCAGCTGTATAAAGGGTTAACATAAAAAATGTAACCTATGTAAGTCACCCTGGATAACAGTGTCTGCTAAATGCCAATATAATATAATGCAATAAGAATGAGTTACATTCAATATTTTGATTGTAAGAAAAAGATTGAGGGTTGGGCCTAACTTTGCAGTAATTTTCATAACAATCAAAATCTTCATATGAAACATATAGAGGCAGCCAGGGTAATCTCAGCACATTAGCAGCAGGCTAATGAAGTCTAATGTTAATCACAGAAAACAAAAGCAAATTCAGGACAGTTAGCAGATTTAAAGTAAGATTCCAGCCCCTTCCATTTCAGGTTCAGGAGCCTCCACCTACGCCCAAATTCCCACCCCCACTCTCCCCATTTAAATAGGCCGCGAATACAGCGGGCTGAAAGGAGATGAAACTCTGATGTTCTAGTGTAGCTCCTTTGTCTCTCTCTCTCCCTTTCCTTCTCTCAACTTCAAAAGAGCGGCACACTAAATTTCACAGCCCACAGAGAGCTCTGCTTTTTGGCAGAGCGCTAGAGCGTCGGTGCTGGAGGTATTTTCAGAGAAAGTCATTTGGCGAGGCGGGGGAGCCGGGGGTTGTCTCATGGCGGTAGAGCACGAACCGCATGTTTTTCCGACAGCATCAGAAAGACAACATCAGAATTTTGAGGCTGCTTGAGCATCAGCCCTGGCCTTTGTTGCGTTTGTGGCTTTCGCAGAGGCGCGTGATGTCAGCGCTCAAAACTGTCACATATCACGGCCCTAGTGTTGCATCACCCCCCCCAGCAACCGTCAGCTATTTGGTGCAGACTTGACCCACATACAGTACACGACAGAAATCAAACAGCTGATTGGACACAGAGGAGTGTTGGCAATCTCCATGGAGACCAGGAGTCGCAGACAGAGGGGAGATGGGAGGATGGAGCTGGCGCCTGCGAACAGACTGCACTGTGTTCCCTGTTTCTTGGAGAAGATGGTTGAGCAAATGCACACAGTTCGCTCCATGCCATTAAGGGAGCCTGCAGTCATTCCTGAAGTTAAACCAAGTTAAAGCTCCTGGTTTGATGCAGTACACCAATTGTTTATCATAAATTTTTGTAAGGACATTTGGTTCTTAGGGTTTGCTTTTCAAACACTATGTGTTCTGATGTTAAACATAAAGAAACCTTGGAAGGCCTTGAATGTCGAGTTGCTGATACCCTGCTGATTCATGCTCTTTATTCATCCACAAAAAAACACTGCACCCATCATTTGAATGACATTATTCTACACCAGCACGGCTAGAGTGATTATTCAAACAGAGTGATTCTCTCTGTGGACTGCGCATTCAGTGCCAAGGCATCGAGGTTATCCTTTTAAAGAGGTGTTTTAGACCAGCGATGCAAGCGTAATCCTACTTACCTGAACACATTGGTTGTTACTGTCCGCTATCAAAATGTTGCCAGTCGGGGACGCCGCCACGCCCTGCACGTTGGTGAACTCGCCCTTATTCCTTCCCTTTGTACCTGGAACCCACGCAAATGAACTATTGCCTGTTATTCTGACGGTGCATTCAGCCATCCGATGTCCTTTTTTTAGCAAACTGCATTAAAAGGTGTCGGCCCGCTGAGACGAACCGCTGACTTCCTAATTAATCAAAATCACTAACACATCGTTACTTCCAGCACTGAGGTGCATGCTCTATTTTGATGCTCTTCGTTCACTGGAGGCCCCAGAGCTCCTTACACTGAGGGATCATAACGTGTCCATGCACAGACAGTGAGAATGCTGCTCTGCTGGGTATGTGCTGTGTGTGACGGTGAGGCCAATGAATTTGTACTGTGTGAGCTGTGCCGGGGTCATCCCTGTGTCAGCCTGGTCTTAGGTGACTGCTTTGAGAGAGTGCAGGAGATAACCTGCACATTTCAAAGGATTCACTTGGTTTTTGAGAAAGCTCTGCTTTTCAAAAAACAGCAACAAACATTTCAGATAAAATCAACTTTGTGTGGAATGTCAAATTTTTGTCTATGTGAGGATTATTAAGGCCCTGAAAAACACAGGCTTCTGTACAGAGGGGAATAATACCCTTTAAACAGTGGCTTATCTGCTGTCGTACATTAGAATTTAACCAAACACTGTATGTTCTGGATCATGTATTTTCGCAATGGTTTTAAAGGCTAAAAGTCGGAATTGAACTGTTCTCCAATTGAATTGTTTTCCAAAATTACCTTTGCAATTGAATTAACATCCTTGAACCCAAAAGGGAGCATCCAGAAAGTATGCATTTACCATCCTAAAGATGCAATTGATTTTTCTAGTTTTCTGAATTATGCAAAGGCAGGAGCTCAGAGAATACTGACCCGCGGCCATTCCCCTGAGACAAGCAGCCGCTTACCGATTCTGCAGATCAGGTCGTCCTCGATGGGGTTCTCTTTCCGCTTGGCCGCGCTGAACATGCTGGCCGTGCGCTTCACCCCCTTCTGTTTGATGCGGCCGCTGCCGGGGGACTTGACCCGCTTCTTGACGCCGTCGGAGGTGGGCAGGGCCTCGGTCGACTTGGTCACCCTCAGCTTGAAGGGGCTGCCCCTGATGTGCTGGTCGTAGAGGCGCAGCGACAGGGTGAAGTTGCCCTCCTTCTGCACGGTGTAGAGGAACTCGTAGGTGCCGTTCTTGTTGTCCAGGATCTCGCCGTCGGCCACGCTGCCGTCCGGGGTGAAGATCTCAGCCGTCAGGCAGGCGTTGCCCGTCTTGCACAGCTCGCCGTCCTTGTCCTTGGTGGTGATGGTGACGGAGGTGGGGTGGCCCACCTGGCACTGCCGCAGGCCCTCGCCGCTGGCCACCGTCTCGTAGGCCACGGCGTTGGTGGTGACGATGGTGCCCAGGTTGTGGATGGACTTCTTCAGGACCTCGGTCTCGATGAGGAAGTCCAGCTGGTCGTTCTCCTCGGGCTGCAGGGCGTAGTCGGTGCCGGCCAGCTCGCTCAGGCGCTCGCCCATCTGCTTCTTCACCAGTAGGACCTCGGCCTCCGAGCCGCGGCTCAGGGCCTGCTCCGTGAAGCTGCAGCTGCTGTGGATGCCCTCCTGGTCATGCAGCAGGGAGTCCAGCTGGGCCTGGAGCACCTGCAACACACAGAGACAGTGCTCACACAATGGCACCTACAACAGACACAGCGCACAGACTACAACGCTAACAACACACAGAGAAAACACTCACACAACAGCACCTACAACAAACACAGAGCACAGACTAAAGCACCTGTAATGAACAGAGACAGCACTCACACAACAGCACCTACAACAGACACAGCGCACAGACTAAAGCACCTGTAATGAGCAGAGACAGCACTCACACAACAGCACCTACAACAGTTACAGTGCACAGACTACAGCACCTGCAACGAACGGAGACAGCGCTCACAGAACAGACCCTACAACAGGCACAGCACACAGACTACAGCGCTAACAACACACAGAGACAGCACTCACACAACAGCACCTACAACAGACACAAAGCACAGACTACAGCGCTAATAACACACAGAGACAGCGCTCACACAGCAGCACCTACAACACACAGAAACAGCGCACAGACTACAGCACCTGGAATAGACAGAAACAGAGCTCACACTGGAGCACCCGCAGCATACAGAGACAACACTAACACCACAACAACTACACAACACAACGGACACACATACTTACAGCAGTTACCACACACAAACACATAATTCACAACTGGCGCGTTTATAACACGTTCACGCCGGTGTTTCCGACAGACCTCACCTTCTGCTTGAGCCCGTAGGTGACCTCCAGCTCCATCAGCAGCACGCTCTTCCTCACGTTCAGCGTCTTCTGCAGCTCCTCGAAGGTGGCGTGGATGTCCTCCTCGATGGACGCCCGCTGGCTGCTGAGCTGCTGCAGGATGTCCGTCAGGGCCCGCAGGGCCGAGTCGATCTCCGGCAGCCTGTACGCCCCCACAGGGGAGAGGTTCACCTTATTCATCCAGGACCCTGATAACTGTAATCTCCCGATTCGCTTTGGCAGTCGCGTAGTATGAACTTAATCAATTCTGTGTTTATCAGAAAAACATGTGAAGGAAGTGTTTCCATATGTTTATTGCTCCAATGAGAGGAAATACTGTATTCTTTCTTGTGTTACCTGTGAGATGGCAGTACTGCATTCTGTTGTCCATGCCTGCCCTTGTCATAGGAATAATCCCTGGTTCAATTAGTGTTCCAGGGGAACATTTGCCATTGAGAACCACAGGGAGCAGCTCTCTGTGCACCCTGATGGCTCAAGGGATTTGCACAGGAGGAAGGAGATTGGACGGGAGGATGGGGATTGGACAGAAAGAAGGAGACGCACCTTTTCTTTACTGCGCCCAGCTGGTCCTGCAGAGCGGTCTTATGCTGCTCCAGCGCGTCCTTGAGCGGGACGGCGGGGTGGTCGGCGTGCTCCCCACCGGCGCAGTCCTGACACACCGCCGTCTCGCACGGGGTGCAGTACATCTCCATCACCTGCAGGCGGCACGCACACACAAAACATGTCCATACAGCTCCACCTACAAAGAGACTGTCAGCCACACCCACGTACCACACACCACTCCCACCCCAACATACCCATCAGCCCCAAACACACATACCTGTACATATACATAACATTATTGTTATTTAGTAGAAGCTCTTATGCAGAGCAACTTACATAGGTTACTGTTTTACATGTTATCCATTTATACAGCTGCACATTTAGTGAGGCAATTGTGGGTTAAGAACCGTGCCCAAGGGTACAGCGGCAGTGCCCCAGAATGGAATCAAACCAGCAACCTTTTGGTTACCAGCCCTGCTCTTTACCACTACGCCACCCCTAAAACCCAGCAACGCTTGCTCACTTTCATTCAAGATCTGCCAACAGAATGTTATGAAGCAAGGACTCATCCAGTATTTGAACCTGGGACATGTTGCACCTTAAGCAAGAATTATACCCCTAGACCAACAGGCCCTGCTCTACAACATGTATATAACATGGGCTCTACAACATGCAAGACCACAGCACTCACTTTCCCTCTGTATGTCTCTCTCACACACATAGATAGACAGGACCAACAACAGCACGAGAGAACAACAGCCCCAGCTGATCACATGGTGTGATTCAGTCCCTCAGTGTGGCATCTCTATTGTTTCCAATAATAACAATGCAGGCTGTTGATATATTTTGCATCGGCACAGTGGAGTTGGGTTACTATGGCAACACGTACAGTACCAGTCAGAAGTTTGGACACACTTACTCACAGAAGGTTTTCTTTATTTTTGTTATTTTCCACATTTTAGAATGATAGTAAAGACATCAAAACTATGAAACAACACAGATGGAATTGACCAAAAAAATGTGAAACAAATCAGAACTATTTTATATTTTAGATTCTTTAAAGTATCCAAAAATAATTTTTAAAACTAAAATTTCTTTGTCGAAGAAAATTCATACATAGGCATCAACTTCCCTCACTATTTATATTTGTCTAAGAAATACATTTCAAGCATTTAAGCATAAGTCCTCAGATCAAAATGTCCTTAAATGCATGTTTCCTGTTATATTAATCAGGTGTGTCCAAACCTTTGACTGGTGCTGCAGGTAGAGTTAAAACCATTGCATCCCAGAAAATGTTATACTATTATGCTCACTTAACCCTCCTTGGTGAATTGTTTTACTTGGTGAACTGTTCCCTGGGGGTCTGTAAGCTAATCATTTTCCTTACTGTTACACAAGCCTGCTCTTTTTCCAGATGCATCTGTCATGCACTGAGCCAGGATATATTTGTCTGGATTCTGTAAATTACATTAAGCAAGGTCCAAAACGAAAGAATACTGCAAACTCAAAATGTGATTAAAAAAATTTGGATGGAGACCAGATTCGCCCACGCACTCTACTGCTGAGCTAGCACCGAGCCCAGAAAGAGGCCAATATGCCCAGATGGCCAATCCCACTGCATTCCCTCGAATCTTGGCCCAGAATCAAGAAACAACAATCAATGACTTACAGCTTGACGTTTCACAAAAGCAGACCACCTAAAGAGGCTAAACCACAGTGCAGGGCAGTACTGCACGTATAATCTCTTCTAGAAATATCTTAAATTTGACAATATTTCAGACTGTGGGCACCATAGACCTTATGTGCTGGTGATTTACTGTGATCTGTATAATGTATTCTCAGACTTCTAAATAATAACATGGTGTATCTGTGTGTGTGTGTGTGTGTGTGTGTGTGTGTGTGTGTGTGTGTGCGTGTGCGTGCATGCTCGGACTTGTGGAGGAAGTTACGTACAGTAAAAACGATCTATTTGAGTGTGCTGGAGACATAGCTACCAAATTCAGCTAGAGATACTGAATGAACTCAGGGGTGGGTTCAACAGCACAACAGTTTCGCAATGCTCCACCATGATGCTAACTGGAATTAGAGACTACACATCCCATGAGCGCCTGAGCGAAGAAGCGCTTTGTGACAGGTGTGTGTGACTGCGCGAGGCGGTGGGGGCAGGCCCCTACCTTGCCCTCGTGGTTGGGGCAGGACAGGGGCGGGGTGGCGGCGACGGCGGCGACGGCCTCCAGCACGGTGCAGGCCTCGCTGCTGCTGTCGGGGGACCGCTGCAGGACGTCCATCAGGCTGGTGACGAAGGAGTTGCTCTGCAGCGCGGACACACCCCTCTCGGGCAGGATGGACGTCTGACGGCACTCGGGGCACGAGACGGTCAGGCTGTGGACAGGTATGTAGGTCTGTAAGCACCTGTACACAGAACAAAACACAAACATGGTCAGTCTACGGACAGTTTCGTAATTCTATAAGCACTTGGAGACAGACAGAATACAAACAGTAATTCAATAAACAGGTATGTAGTTCTGTACGCACCTGGAACCAGACAGAATATAAACAGTAATTCTATAAACAGGTATATGGTTCTGTAAGCACCTTACAGAAGTGAGGCTGTGGGAAGGAAACTCAGACCGTTAAACTGTACAGACTGCTACACAAACTATATTCCAGATGTACATCAACAGTCTCAGCGAATGAGAAGAGCCGATCGGTTGGAGCGGAATGAAGTTTGGCGCGTTGCACTGATGAGCGAGTGTACAGGCAGGCCGGTGCTCACCGCTCGCAGAAGGTGTGCAGACAGGGGAGGACTCTGGGGTTGTCGTAGCGATCCAGGCAGACGCTGCAGATCAGGAACTGCTTGTCGACCTGACGCACCGCGGGGCTCGGGAGGCTGGGGTCTTCACTGGCCATCCTGACACTGCGACACAGGGGCCCAGCGCCCCGTCACCCTGCTCCCTGCCGAGACAGGAGAGGGACAGACAGCAGCGTCAGAGAGAGACGCTCACACACACGCACACGCATACACACACACAGACACATACACACAGGAAATACCCTGGGCAGACAGTCTTTTGCTTTTTCCCATCTTCATACTGACACGCCCAAAGCTGCGCAGACACACACACACACACTCAGAAGATATACCCGGCTCAGACAGCAGACGCACAATGATGTAACTCCATCCTTACAGACAGACACAAGTAGAGTGCAGGCAGAGATAATGGAACATGCGCCCGCTGTGTCACCATGAGCCACGCGGTTCACTCTGACATGCTGGGATGAGCGGATTAGTGCGTCACCGCTGTCACAAAACACACTCTGGGCTCGTGCACATCTGCTTGATTGGTGGTTCGTTCCAGCGCGCACGGGTGGAGTCGCCGCTGCGGAGGGGATCTTGCCACATCTTGCAAATCTGAACGGAGACCCAACAGCTCCAGATACAGGCCCAGGCCCACAATGAGAAGGCAGCCACACTCCGGTGACCAGGAAAAGGATGGTCAGCTGCCTTCATGTCAAACAACCCTGAGAATATGTCCATTTATAAAACTGGCCTTTTCTACTTTGCAGTGAGGAATTTAGTTTATCCTCCCACAGCTGAACCAATGGGGGCAATGGATAATCTCTCTGTCTGATTTCTTCCCTGCATAGATCACAGCGGCTGAATTAATGACAGGGAGACTTTAGTGAAGCTTCTTAAATCTTACAGTCTTAATAATAATAATAGTAATAAAAACAATAATAGTCATCATCATCATAGGAATTTATATAGCACCTTTCATCCCCTTCAGAGATCTCAGACTACTGCACTTTGGCTGACCACATATCAGCTGGAGTGGGGAGACGTGGATTTATGCAATCAGATAAGATAGGGGAATGATTGGATGGCTATGTTGAGAGAGTCAGGGAGCCCCCAGCAATTCACACTGGGTCCTGCTGGATCTTTAATGATAACAGCAAGTGAGGCATTCAGTTTAACTCATCTGAAATAGAACACTGTGTCCCCATTATTGCACTTATCCGTTGGCTCTCCATTTGTTCCAGTGGGAAGACTGGCTGCCCCATACTGGCCAACCAACGCTACTTCTAGCAGCAACCTGGCCTTCTGAAGAGGTCTCCCATACAAGTACTGCACTTACCAAGCTCATCCCCACCCAGCTTCAGCCTATAGGCAGAAGAAAGCTTCAGGCTGTTAAGGCTGCTTGTTCAAACACTCATGCACACTGACTTCATTGCCTCAGAGTAGATTTGAAAAGATTTGCATTTACAATTCACTGACATTTTTAAAAATCAACTGGAGGATGTCTGTGTATGCAATAAATAATAGATTGCGTGTGTTAGGAAATTACTGCACACTGTGGCAGACCTGTTCTGTTACTTTGAAAAGCTCAGAATTGGACAAAGTGATACAATAGCATCCCTCACAGCTACATCTGGAACCCTAATGCTGCCTACCCTGAACCAGAAAAGGTAGTACTGAATGGTTGGAAAGCATTTTTAAAGTCTTCTCAAAACCAAATACTACAACTGATCTTCCGAGGCAGCCGTTTTTTAACATTACTGTTGACGACAGCGCTGTGTTTAACACAAAGTCTGATACTGTTATTATTTGAACCTGAGCATTGTCTACTTTAAACATGCAGCATTCAACTGGAAATAATGAATTTAACAATGAGGTTGCCACGTCTCCAGCTCAGCAAGGGATTAGCTTCACTTTGGTGTCTTTGGGGGAAGAGACTCGGGACACCTCCAAATAAAGGAGCTCGCTTTGAGGATTTTCAGCCACCGGCATAAATTTCATGGCAGAAAATATTTTAACAAAAAGAACAGCCCGTTGCCAATAGCAACCGAGAAGGAGAGAGCGTCACCCACACAAAATCTCACACTTCCAGATCCGAGCGACACATCCCACACAATGCGGTTAAAGGCACAAGCGGAGTACTACAAATGAGTTACTATCAGGGCAGTTCTCCGTGAATTAACTCGGAGGAATGGGCGCATAAACAGACAGCCTAGGGGCGGGAAGCAGAAGATAAATGGATGACGGGTTTGGATGATTCTGGAACCAGAACACTGCCACTGTGATCCATAAAGGTGGTCCCCACTAATGCCTTCTGTTCTTGGTTTTACAGTGCAGCAAAGTGCCCCGTCCAGCTGCAGACGTTAAGACTCCTGCTGAGCAGGAGTCACCAGATACAGGGACGCCACAAACCAATGGGTAGTAAGTATGATTCAAACATGAATCCAAACCAGGCCATTTACAGAGCATTGGAACCTCACAGGTAGTAGCTATACAGGGCGGCATAACAGTGTAGCATAGTGGTTAGGAGCTGGACTTGTAACCGAAAGGTTGCAGGTTCGATTCCCCACGGGGGCACTGCTGCTGTATCCTTGGGCAACCCAGAATTGCCTCAGTAAATATCCAGCTGTATAAATGGATAACATTGTACAAACCTGTAATTGATGTAAGTCACTCTGGATAAGAGTGTCTGCTAAATGCCAATAATGTAATGTAATATAGTTATGATTCAAATCCAAACCAGACTGTTCACAGAGCACAGGAAACACACAAGCAGTAGGCATGATTCAAACAGGAATCCAAACCAGGTAATTTACAGAGCACAGGAAATGCTTCA